TGCTCGTTTATCCTCGCGGCGGCGTCCCGCGACTACCCTCCGGGCCAGGATGCGTGTGTTCACGCGCGGGTCTTCGACTACTGTTACGACAAGCTCGACGAACCTGATTTCCTGCTGCGACAGTGGAGCGCGCTGTGTATCGCACAGATCTGGGATGGGCACGACGAGAACAAGGTGTATGGAGTGGATCGAGGGACGCAGGACAAACTCATCCAGCTTCTATCGGACGACTCGGTGGAGGTGCGCTGTGCGGCACTGTACGCCCTTGGGACGTTCATGGGCGCCAATGGATCGTCGAACCCGCGGAAGAGAGGTGGCGGTGGGAGCGGGACGATGCCACACTTCGAGTCCAAAGTGATACACTTCAAGATGGAGGTGGCAGTGGTCACTGGCGCGACGCTCGCCATGAAGGACGACGCAAGCCCCATGTGCCGGAAGGAGCTCATTGTTCTTCTCAGTTGCCTTGTCAAGGAGTATCGAGGCTTTTTTGTCGTCTGCGCGTGGCTTTATTGGGAGGAGGATCACAAATGGAAGGCGCAAGCCAGTCACCATTCAGCCGACGATGACATCCATAGTATTCCTTCTCAAGCTGTCGCAGACTGGTTGGATCGATTTGAAGACCATGAGCGAGCAGAACAGAGGGTTTATTTGTCCTCCTTTTTCACCATGTTCTCGATCCTCTTGGATCTTTCCGTGGATCCGTATCATGAAGTCGCTACCAACGCCCAAACGGTCTTGGACTATATCATAGCGCTGGTGCTGGAGTCTCCATTTACGCGTTTGGAGGGGTCGTCCTTGCATATGCATGTTCCTCCCTCGCCCGATCGGTCATCAGCTCGTACCCGAGTCGGATCGCAAGCGTCAACGATGTCCGCTTCCCCGTCATTTGCACCCCCACCCTCCCCCGGCATACGGCCCAGCCTCTCGCGCACAGATACTATGACCAGCACCATATCCAACGGCGTTACTAACACGATACGGCGGACGTCGTCTTTCGCGAATGCTCTGAAGTCATTGGCTAACGGCATCGCCTTTCCCTCGGCGGAGGAGGCACACCATTCCCCAGCACCCTCAGAAGTTCCTCTACGACCGGAATCTGACAGTACACGTCCACCGTCACCGAATCTCAACCTAGCCCGATATGCGTCGCCTTACTCGGATCCGCTTGTTCCCAACAACGGACATGGCTCGCGGAGCGCGCCGCCGTCGCCCCGTCCGTCATCTGATGCTCCTCATCAGGCACCAGCAGACTTTATGGCGTGGAACGTCATCGAGGCGCTGGTGGAAGAAGACATGGAGCGCCTGCGAGCCCGACGTCGCTCTGGTTCAGGTGTCCGGCGCGGCCACCATCATGGAGGTTCAGCGCCGAGCCCGAGCAGCAGCCTCTCGTCGATGGATTCAAACAATTCTATTATCCTCGGCCTGGGCACGGGCGTCGGCATGGCGGATGTCTTGCCGCTGAAAAGCACGTTCTTTGATTGGTGCAGCGAGTACTTTACCGAGCCGCAAATGAGGGTATGTGGATCCCTTTGATTTTTCGATCTCTAATTCGAGCCGTATTATAGCAAGCAGAGGCTGACGAACCGGGGAGCATCCAGTTCAATTACCAGTTATGGCGCCAGGGGCGGAACGACACCGTTATCGAAGAGACGCAGCAGCACATCGAGATTGCGGGTATGTTAAACTGTGTGGCCAGTTCTGGACGATGTTGACGATCTGTACTAGAAACGCGTGGGTGGGATAGATCGGTGGCAACGTTGCAGGTCTCGGGCCATCCTTTAACCATGGCATTCCACTCGTACGACAAACATCTGTTCATCGCCAATGAATCCAATGTAGTCAGGTTAGTGATTCATTTTGATCTTTGGCCAAATCATCTTCTAATCGCGTTCTTAGCGTTTGGGACTGGTCACAACGTCGTCGATTGACTTCATTCCACAATGGCAACCTGGCGGGCACGAGCGTCACGTCGCTGCAAGTCATCAACCAAGATGTTGGCGGTATCGTACTTACCGGGTCTTGTAAGTCTCATGCCCACCGGTGGAACCTGACTTACATCTTCGTTAGCTGATGGCGTCGTTCGCCTCTTCCGGAACTACGATCCCGCAGTTGACCAAGGACCAGTCCAGATGGTCAGTGCTTTCAGCGGGCTCACGGAAATTGTCAATATGCGCCAAGGGGCCGGCGTTGTGATGGACTGGACGCAGTCTGCCGGTATCCTTCTCGTTGGCGGAGACTCGCGAACCATCAAAGTGTGGGACGCTCAAACCGAGACACCGATATTGGTAAGCGGTTTTAAAGATGTAGATTTGTTTAATTTTCATCCGTGTGTCAGGATCTGGACACCAACTCGGAGAGCCCTGTCACTGCGATCACCTGCGACATGGAGCCTTCCCAAATATTCGCAGCTAGCTTCGCTAATGGGGAAGTGAAGATCTTTGATCGACGCCAACCAGAGGAGAATTCCGTCATCAGAAAATACGTTGAACATGAGTCTTGGGTTCAAAATGTCCGGTGGCATCCGGCAGCGAGGTCCCAGTTGCTCTCCGCAAGGTAGGCAAAACATTCGACTTTATGGCCTTTATCTAACTTTTCCCAGTTTGGATGGCAAAGTCAAGCTGTGGGATCTTCGAGTGCCAGACAGTTCCCTGACCTGGGACCTCCTTCCGGACGGTCTTTCTGCATTTGACTGTCACCCAACGACCGGCGTATTTGCAGTGTAGGTCATTAGCTGGAGTTTTCGCTGTTTCTCATTGCTCAAACAGGACATCCGCCATCTCACCACGGTCCTGGAAGACGCAACGCGTCAAGATACACTCCTTGAAGCAAGACACGACGCTGTCTAGCTTTGGCGTAACTACTGGATTGACGGCACCGCTGCCCCGTGGCTTGTTATCCTCCTTTATCCCTCGGTCGACGTCCCTGGCATTCCACCCGTTGGAAATGCTGTACGGAGTTGGAGAACCAGACGGTACCGGTGCGTTTGTTCGCTGTCTCGTATATCTGTACTGATTTGCACCTAGTGAGAGTAATGGGCTGCAAACTGACTTGATCTACTTTTTCATCTAATATCTATCTGTACACTCGCTATCATGCTATCTAGTTTGTTTCCTAGAAGTAGCTCTTTTGCTGTATCTAAATACATTACCCCGCTTGTTAGGGGATGTTTGGCTTCACCATCTTTCTCTTCCACTCACCAGTCACGCTGAGATCCTCTAACTTCTGCTTTTACTTCAGATATTGCCTCTTTTTAATACGACAAGTACGTCTGTCTCAATAGACCTCAACGTTGAGCTTGTTCGACCGAATCGACCCATCCAGCGTCGCCTTCAACCCCTTGGTGCCTTTTGCACGGAAAGTAATATTCACAGTCCCGTCCGTCCCAGTCGTCTGCCCATGCACAGTGGCGCCCTTTACTGGCTTCCCAGTCGTCCCATCTGTAACGAAAAACGTCGCCGGCACGCCTTTCTTTGCTTTTGCTGGCCCATCAAGCTTCAACACATGTTGCGCGTTGAACACGTCGAACGCCCAGAGGATGTGGTCGATCTCGTTGACTTCTTGCTGGCAACCACCAACTTGGGTGAGATTGAAATTTAACAACAGACCCCAGAACTGAGTGTCGGTCTCAGTGGTGTCGGCGATGGAGGTGATGAAGTAGTCGTCAAATTCGGTGAAAAACGTCCTGCAAAGAAGTGAGCTCTGGTTTTCAGTCGTCCGAGGGCTATTACACACGCGTCCCACTGGAATCCGTTCTTGACCGATGCATCATCGAGGGCCGAAGTACAAGTCGGCCCCGGGAAGATATTGGTACCGTTATTCGTACCGTCGCAGTGGTGCGTTCCCCCCGACACGGTGGTGACGTTGTGTCCCATCGTTATGACCCTGCCCTCGAAGATGGTATGGTTGGCGCCCTCGATGCGGAGGTTGACAGGTGTAGGGTGGTTTTTGGCCGGGATGGCATGTGCTGCGTGTGGGAGGAGTGCGGAGAGGCAGAGGAGTACGGTGCTGAGGGAGAACATGCCGACCCTGGACTTGGAGACGGGCCAATACATCCCGCGTTTATAAACGCGGGGTAGACATCTTCACTCAGGAACGAGGATTTGGCAGGCGTCGGCACCTGTGAGAAAGGTTGTGAGTTGAGAGTTGATCAAAGTTATTAAAGTTCGATCCAAGGTTAGAATGTTGTCGTTTCCGCAAGAGCGTCGATTGGCTCGAAGGTGGATGCTAGGATCCTCAAGCTTACAGCTAATCCGGAAACGATAGACACCCTTGAATTTCCAGCAAAAGTTCGGCTAAGTTCGGACCGGCCAACCGCTAAACCAAATTTACTTCACTTGCGTCTCCAGGAAATTAAGCTTTGGGACGAACTCTCTATATTGTGAGGTGGCGGGTGACTTTATGTAAGCCCAGCAACATACGGACTACTTTCACTGAATCCCGACTTGAACATGGCTCACAACAACATCCCCAAACAACAAGGGCCTCAAATTTCAATCCATACGCTACAGGTTCGGATGTGGAATCGTTATAATGAAAAGACGCTTTTGGTCGGGCGGTATGTAGCATCGATTGCCCGATGGCATGGTGGTAGAGAGTAGATGATCATTATTGTAGAGTCATATAAGTACGCTGAGGATGTGCTCCACAAGAGTACTAAATATAAAATGATCCAAGCTTAGCCGAACTTGTGCTGGAAATCCAAGGGTGTCTATCATTTCCGGATTAGCTGTAACATCTATGCCCACGGACCTATATATTTATGTTTCTTTTGGAATGGCTCTGAACTCTGAAGTGACAGCGCTCGCCGCGGCAAAGACGACAGCTTGTAAATTACCATATGGTCCAGGGATTCCATTCAGCTCCAAACCCCAGGCGAGCCTGACACGTTGCACGAGCAGGTCCCAAAAAAAAATAGGGACACGTCGTGCGTTGAATAGTGATTTGTGCCGGGTCTTGTTGTAATGCACAAAATAAAAGAAAACTCATTTTGCAAAACAACATGCTCTCCATGAGGGTCGAACTCATGACCTCCAGATTAAAGGATTAGCAAATCCCTCATACCGCTATGAGACTGGCGCTCTAACCAACTGAGCCAGGAAAGCGCAGATGCAGCATGTACATACTTTGGTTGTCTGTTTTCTCATGATGACAAAAGCTTTGCCCAACGCTTCATGGGGGACTACCGGCCGCATCTTTTGCCACGGTTGCAGAAGGTTCATTTGGCTCCAATGCCTGATGAGGCATTCTTCGAGGTAAGTTATTATATTTGTCCACACATGCTCCTGCTTAATAAATGCACAGTCTGACGCAGACGGCGACGAGGTCGACGCAGGTCCATGGGATGATGAGGACGCATGGACTAAACTAATCTGCCACCACCGCCTTTCCCACATTCATTATTTTATCCTCTCAACCCCTCTGCACCTTTTCTGGCCGCCGACGCACAATGAAGTCCGCCGCATGCACAGCCAGTGGTTTCGTGAACTCCCGGCTTTTCGAATCTTTCCACTTTTGTTCTGCATAGCGGCTATGGCAGTGAACATGGGCGTGTCGAGGCCTACATCGAAGACGAGCCCGACAATGTCCCTCAAGGCCTGATCGAGGGCGAAAGGAGCAGTACGTATGGTCCAGGGCATCGCGGGGATCTCAGCATCCCTGCTCTTTTGTGGGCAAGGATCTTGAACGACAATGGCGATGTGGTTTGGGACAGCGATAGCAGCGGTGTTTATTGTGGTTTTGCCGAGCACTTGTTTTTCGACGAGTTCCGTCATCGTGGTACAAAGACTCCAGCACGCAAGTTTGGCCATGAGGAAACCTTGTTCAAGAAGATCAAATTTCGAGAACGGAGCCAATGTGGGCGCTTGAGACGTGTGAGCCAAGTCCCATATTTTTTCACACTGCTTGACAATGTTGTCCAGTGATCTCTACGCACGTCGTGCATTTGTGTTCATACTTGCATGTATTTGGTGTATCGAAATTGGATTTACAGTAGGCGTCTGAATCCGACCCCTGGATCCTTGGGCTGGATTTTGCCCAAGTCGAATCCGACCCACGGATCCTTGGAACACATTTCGTATCCGATGGCTCGATCTTGACTTGACATAAATGACACAGAAGTAGATGGCAAGAAAAGCTAGACTACATAAGTGGCCAATCGGTCCGTAACCAGAGCAGGTTTACAGTATATTTATAACAAAAATGACCATCCCTCTTTGCAACACCACTGCCAGGAAAAGAAGATTAGTGAAATCAAATCGTCAAAATAAATGCAAGTTCACCTCTGAAAAGTACATTACACCAAGCCGAAGCTGCACTTGTTCGTTTTCCAGTGTTAAACTCAAGAGACTAGAACTGCTTCCAATAGAAATGAGTTGAAGTGTCGGTCGCTGAGCTGGGAGGAGCTGGATCAATTCTTTGGATCGAGAAGAGTCGCCGTTGCAATATATATGCAACTCTGTCAGATTCGGGAGCAGGGTTGTTTTTTGGAAGACGGCGAGCAGATTCTCCATCGATGAGACTGTGAATGCGATATCGGTAACAGTTGGGAGCTGGTGTAGAGAATAGATGATTTCGGGGGCAAACATAATGTCGGTAAGAGCCAATCTTTTTAGGTGGCAATGGGCGCGTTGTAGCCAAGAAAGTGCGGTGTGAGCATCGCCATGAACAAAAAGCTCTTTGAGAGCTGGCGTGAGGAGACGAAGAGGGAGGGGGTGAGAAAAATTGCTCAAGAAGAGTTTTTGCAGGGTTAGGAGTGTGATATCTGCATCTATGATCTGCGGTGCACCAATGATTGACAAGTCTGCTTCAATAAGGCAGAGCATCAGCGGTAGGACCTGCAAAAGCCGAGCCCACGTTCCGACTGCCTGGTAGCGCGTAATTTGTGACCATGGGAGAATAACGGGACTAGGGCAAACACGAATTGAGGCACGGCAAAGTAGGGGGGCACAGAGTGCAGTTGGAGTTTGAAACAGCATGAATGAGTAGTCCTTTGGAAAGGGGCTTACAAGATGCAGGCACCGCAGACTGGTGAAATGAATGGTAGCTGGAATCGAGCGAGATAAAACTGCTGGCATTTTAAGCATGCACCAGCGGGAAGCGGAGGAGAGAAGGGTGGAGAGAATTTGAGGGGATGGGTTAGGTTGCCGTATTTCAACATGCAATGGCGCATTGCCAGAGCGCTGGAGTTGGACGCGCAACAAGTTGGCAGGGAATGTGTGTTCAGACGTCTCATCCTCAGAATCCCACTCCTCCTCTACCGGTGTATTCTTCAAAACCATGCTCGGTAGAATGATGTGGACCCAGAGGGATGGATAGGAGATTGCAACGCTACGCCAGCGTATACAGACATGCGAGATAGTCCAAGGTGAGGTGGCTAGTCCTAGGCGGAAATCACGGTGTTCAATGGCTTTGCTGACGTCGGTGAAAGGAGGTATAGTCAACAAGAAAATGGAGCACAGAATTTCAACAGGGAGATTAGAGGTAGGCTGGATTGACATGGTCCAGCAAAAGAAAGCACGTCGATGACCCTGTGACTGACGCGTGTTGTCACACCGTGTTTCGCTCTGATTTTGCCTCGATGAAATAATATTTGATGTTGAGGCGATTGGATTCAATACAATGCAAGTAAGCTACTAGTACAGCAAGTTAATCATCAAGTTAATCATCAGAGTCCATTTGTGATTCTACGTCAGAGTCTTCAGTACCAGCGATATTAGGCGGATGCTCGGCGCAAAAGGACATGACATGCTGAGAGACTGCAGGCCAAAATAGGTCCAGTACCGTTTTCAAAGCGCGACGAGTCGAGGGAACCATCTCTGCTAACGGACTGATACCATCTTCATTGTTGGGAATGGACTTGATGAGTTCATCTAACGTTTCGGCAAAACCAGGAGAGCGGCGACTAGGCTCTAGGTTGCGCGGCGTCCAAAAAGGATCCATGAGCATAACAAGACCGAACTTGTGTATACAATCAGTACAAGCAATAAATATATAATGAATGGTCTCACTGCAAAATACACTTTCCGCAGGGTGTTTCGCGCAGTAACCCTGCCCTCGGTTGCACGTTTCCAGACATTGTAAGTAACCGCTGAACGCTCAGCCTCATGCATCGCCTGGTACACCGCAGTTTTGCATGCTGTACCTCCGGTGCCTGCTCCAAGCTTTGTGATTTCAAGACTGAACCGTATCGCGTTGATGCATTGAAGTAGGTTTCGAACGTAGGATGCTATGTCTTGAGCAGAGTCTTGGAAGTGTAAGTTCTAGGAAATAGATGTTAGTAGAGGTCAAGTTGGTAGCCTGAAGAAGAAACACATACTTGATGACACCTCACAATGCGCTCCTGCAAATCTACCACCCTAGCACAATTGATATCCTCCTCCAAGAATTTCTTCATCGATGTCGTATTCAGGTCAATAGACCCCCGTGCATATTGCTGGAGCCTTGGTTAGAGTGTAAAGCCCCCAAAAAGAATATACTATGATGTACCCAAAGTGCTTGTGTACTACGATCATAGCCTATCAAGAGTCGGGTTAATGCCTGATCTTCTTCTTCTTCTAGAGTGCCCAGTTTGTGGCCACCAAAGATGAGGGTGAAGAAATCTTTCGGTTCAAGAACATTTTGTGCCTTGTTAGCGGTGTCGCGAATAGAGTGGGCGCGTTTGGTGCAACGGATCGTTTTGAGCTCCTTGTGGCTAAGCTGAATGGGAGGCTGTCCTCATGTTAGATGCAAGGATACATTATGCACTCTACACACAGTACGGTAGGCGGGATGGTTCAGGTTGAATTTGGCAGATTGGCATTTCGATCCGGCGATTCCCAAACTGCCGGTTTCACAAGCTACGCGATCACGTGGTGTGGCGCGCAAAATGTGCAGAGATACAAGCCATTGTACACAATGTGCTGTAAGATTCTACCGACTATCTTACATGATAAATTGCACAATGATACATGCTCTCGACTTAAGCACTGAGTTTCTTCCTCATTTGGGACTGACATCCATTGCAAAGGGCCAAGTTAAACATTCCAAAATTCCGGGAGGAATGTTATACGTGGGTATCCGACGAGTTTGACACAAAGGCTTGGGAGGTTTATGAGCAAATTGGAAGTCCGAAATTGATGTTGACCAACGGTTGGACAATATTTTTGCCAGATGCTTCCTCACTTCAATTGATCTTCAAATGATCATTATTTGATCTCCCAGCCCGGCTCAATAATTAATGTTGTGTTCTCCATTCCGTTCTTTTTACAGCTGCCAAATGAAGGAAAGCTGAAATTGTGACTTGTTCGTGCCTTGAAAGCGTTAAATACTGACACGGCGTCTCGATCGCGGTTGAGAACGCGGTCGCGAACAGTCACATATGTAACATATTGTGACATCCGATCATGGCCAAAAAATATATTTATCCACTCGGATGCTGCCCTCTGGCATAGCAAGACTTGTTATTAACTAAGAAACTAGGGTGAATTGAGCACAAGTGAAGGGTGAAGCTCAATTCGGATCACCGGATCGAAATGTCAATCTGTCAATGTGTCAAATTCAACCTGAACCATCCCGCCTACCGTACACACAGGTGACCTCGGACGGGGCTGAGCTGGAGACGGCTCTTCAGAGGTGGCGCGTTGTTCATTATGAGGCGTTGGTGGCAGTGTGCTAATGAGTCCATTTAGACGAGAACGTATGTTCACTTTAGCAGCTTGACTCTCGGGACTGTCTGACGCGTGGTGAAGGGTGTCCTCAAGCTGCTTGACGAGATCTAACGCGTTGGAAAGAAAGGCCATAGTTTGTTTGCATTCAAAGTGCATTGGCCTTGGATACAAACAAATGAAGTCGACTTGGAAAAAAAAAAAAAAAATTCTACCGTATGAATACAGGTCAGAGGCTACAACTTAACAGCAATACACTAACATCAGCGTCTGTCCTTCGCTCTCTTTGTACTTCTCGTGTCCGACCGCTCAAGTCCAATGCGTGTATTAAACCACGTTTGGCGAGCAAAGTGTGAAGGAAGGTCCCACAAAGTCTTGACCATGCAGAAAGTGCGGTTCTTGCAAGCCTTGCTTCCATTACAAGCAACGCAGCGCTTATCGCGTAGCTTCAGAGAGTCTCC